CGAGTTTTGTTTTGCATGTGTCGGACCCGTCGGGTGCGCTGGCCTTTCACACAAAACCATTAATATATTAGCATTTTTACGATGAAAATGGTTGGCCCGCAACACACCTGCACTCATACATACGTTCACACCGGGTATTAGTGTATTATATAAGTAGATATATTATGCTAAAAACGGAGATAGATTAGTAAGCCTGTCCTATCCTGTCCTCCTCCTATATAAATCAATCTCAACTCCAGCTCTCTCTCTCTCTCTCTCTCTCTCTCGTGAGTGTAGAAAACATGGTATTAAATATCGATATGTAATAAAACTAAAGGCAATAATCAATTATTCAAAACATTTTATAAACAAAATCACTACTGAATTGCAGCTAATTTTTTGGTTATTGTTTTTGAGCCGACCATTGATTTTATAATCAAATATGAAATAATGTTTTTTGATTCATTGAATAATTGATGGCAATAATCGGTAGGGAATGTCGTGTTTTGCCAAAAACCGTAATCGTTTTAATCGTGGATTTTTTAGGCTATCATTATATACCTGTGATCTCACTCTCTCTCTCTCTCTCTTTCTCTCTCTCTCTCTCTCTCTCTCTCTCTCTCTCTCTCTAACGATGCCGTGTGTTTTTACGGCTAATGAATATCCAGTGTTTCAATTTATATTAAAAATAATATTGCTTTGTATGTAATGCGCGGCTAAAACAATGATCAAAAGCCGGGGCACCGGTAATCAGTTTAAGTCGACGGTGCGATTGTATGCTCACTCACTCACACACATACAGACACATACATACATACCTGTACTGTTAGCACACGTATATCAGAATTAGCCTACGATATTATTTGACGGGTGATTTTTTGCCATAATACAATTTGCATGCATGCAATTGTGTTTGAATGTGCGGTTATTGTGTATGCGTTTTGTGTGAAAACTTTTATGTGTATATTTTTGTTATTATTATTATTTTAATGCAATTTCTGCTGATAATCCACTTTTTCTTTCCGCTTTCCGATTATTTAATAGTGAGAGAGAGAGAGAGAGAGAGAGAGAGCAACCAAACCTATTTCAAAAAGGGTAGGGTAGGGGCAGATATAATATCACACACGCCATGCCATACATACACACCGTATATATCAGTACACAATAAGGATAAGTTCATGGCATATAAAAACACACGTATATATCATATAATAAAATATACATAACAATAACTGCTAATTAATTGCATATAATATTTACGTGAAATAAAACAATATTTAATATGATCAAAACAATATCGGGCCCGCGATCACGTATGAATTTTCATTGAGATTCTCAATCATTTAGCTTAATGAATGAAAAAGTTATTATTACTGCGACTATTACTTAATATGGTGAAATTATAATTAATAACAAATATTTTTATTCTCGTATGCCACCTATATAGATTGTGCTGAACTCGATGCACAAGTATCAGCCCCGGGTGCATCTGGTGATGAGACGTGACCCGCACACAGTCAACAATCCGGTAACCGACCTAGATCAGGAAATGTAACTCGTATGCCACCTATATAGATTGTGCTGAACTCGATGCACAAGTATCAGCCCCGGGTGCATCTGGTCTACTCTGCACTGGGCGTGTGTCAGTTGTTAGGCCATTGGCTGGATCTAGTCCTTTACATGGCGTGGATACAGAAGGGCCTCAGGTATAAGTGGCGGCAGTGACGGATAGTTTTAGTTAACCATACAATGGTGTGAATGTCATGTCTCCCCCCTATATCTCTCACCTTTACATACCTGTCCCCACCATATGTATAGTCTGTGTATACTTTGCACTATATAATTGATTATATGATTTAATGTATGATTTATTTGTTGCGAGTATTTAGTGATAGATTTGTTGCTCAATATAAGTGTTGAAATAGTTTTTTGTGTTTAATTGTAATGTTTTAATAGGATTTGCCATTTGTTTTCATAACAAGTGTAGAGATATTTATTAATGTCATTCAATAGTGTATAATAAACGATATTATCGTTATTTTTCTGGTATGAATAGTGAACATTGAAAATGGGTTTTTGTAAATTTTTTAAACACATGCTTAATATTTAATATCGTATTGTGAAATAAAATGATAATGATAATAATATAGCGCATTCATTAATAACTCAATTTCCAGCTACTGTTTCCAGTGTTTGGGTGTTATTAAATCGTTTGATATAATCGCCAAATTTATTGGATTTCTTGTGTGAACTAATTTTGTACATTATATTCAGAGAGACTATAGTCTTATCGATCATAAAATGCAAATTTTTTAGTAAATTTTTACCATAATTATTTTTGTTTTAATTTTAATCATACATTTTTAGTGAAATTTTATTATTTATTTGAAGTTATAATTTATCGCCGATTTTTAATGACAAGAAAACAACAATAAAATCACATCTAGTTTTGCATTTTAATACATATATTAATTGGCTATTAATTTAATCAATATTATGTATGTGAATAGTGTGCTGATTATAGTTGGCGACTAAAAACACCTTTTTACTTTTACTGTAAATATTTAAAACTGTTTTTATTAATTAAAACAAATTTAAAAAATAATTATTAATAAGAATAACAATTTAACTAAACGGCAATTGTTTGAATTCATGGCAACAAATCAATTATTATGTAAATCATATAAAATCACATCAAAAAACCTAACTAGAAAACTTTAAATTATAATAACATAAAATGTTCATGTTAAAATCATATTTTATTAGAAATTACCCTCATATTTAAAAAATACTCTATATATTGTCATTAATTATTACAATTTATTTTCTCAAACCCATAGATAACTAAACTAAAGATAGACAGCAATCCATTCGCCAAAGGATTCCGCGACTCCAGTCGTCTCACAGATATTGAACGGTAAGAGTCCTATCATTTTCAACACATATCCAACCCATACAATACCCATAGATATATTCACACATATATTACATATACATTTCCATAGATATGTATAAGTTATATGCAATTATACCACAACTTTCTTGCAGTTAATTATCAATAGATTTTTGTGTGTGATGTGAAAAATCTCTTTATTTTTCTTTGAGTGCTTTCATTAAAAATGCAGAGAATTATATATTAAGGGAATCGTTGAAAACACACGACTCGTCAGGTTTTCTCTGAAGTGCATGTGTTGTATGTGTTATATAATGTTTTCAAAAAGTTTTAGACTCTATATTTACAACCTATTTAGACATTTCTTCGCCTCCAATCACACACAACATGGAGAGAGAGAGAGAGAGAGAGAGAGTCATTGAGAGAGAGTATTGTCACTTGTATTAAGTATCACACGAAATGTTTAGTTGGCTTTAATTATAGTTTGCTATTTATTTCATATATGCGAATAATTAATGTTGGTGATAGTGAGAGTGAGATATATTTTTAAAATATTTTCACTATGATGATAATGATGGGCGCAGACACACACATACACTACAACTTTCTCTTATGCTGAAAAATATTATGTATTAAATGTTTTTCATAATTTGCGTAATATTTGCGACTAAAATGCGGGACAACTGATAGCGAGAGTGAAAATGTTGTGCCAAAATAGTTGTTGTGTCGTCAGTATAGGGTATAAGAGTCGCAGAGAGGGGGACAGGGATGAGGACACATATACAGGAGAGATACAGGACCTTAGTATTTACCAGAATATTTATTTACATGCAAATATATACACTCCGTATATATTTGACAAATAATTTATTTTTAAAAAGTTTTTAAACATTGGAGTTATGCAACGCTAATATAAGTATAATATAATGACATTTTCTGCTCACAACTGGATAGCGGGTGAGAGAGAGAGAGAGAGAGAGACTGAAAATATGCCATATATTCACGGTGTATGTGTGGTCTCCATGTGTATCTATATGTGTGGGTACAGTGTAGTATCCTTTTACCCATACCAGCGCTAGAGTGATACAGTGTGAAGAGAGAGTCATTGAGAGAGAGTATTGTCACTTGTATTAAGTATCACACGAAATGTTTAGTTGGCTTTAATTATAGTTTGCTATTTATTTCATATATGCGAATAATTAATGTTGGTGATAGTGAGAGAGATATATTTTTAAAATATTTTCACTATGATGATAATGATGAGCGCAGACACACATATACACTACAACTTTCTCTTATGCTGAAAAATATTATGTATTAAATGTTTTTCATAATTTGCTTAATATTTGCGACTAAAATGCGGGACAACTGATAGCGAGAGTGAAAATGTTGTGCCAAAATAGCTGTTGTGTCGTCAGTATAGGGTATAAAAGTCGCAGAGGCAGAGGGGGGACAGGGATGAGGACACATATACAGGGGAGAGATATACAGGACCTTTATTTACCAGAATATTTATTTACATGCAAATATATATACACACTCGGTATATTTTTGACAAATAATTTATTTTTAAAAAGTTTTTAAACATTGGAGTTATGCAACGCTAATATAAGTATAATATAATGACATTTTCTGCTCACAACTGGATAGCGGGTGAGAGAGAGAGAGAGAAAGAAAGAGAGAGAGAGAGACTGAAAATATGCCATATATTCACGGTGTATGTGTGGTCTCCATGTGTATCTATATGTGTGGGTACAGTGTAGTATCCTTTTACCCATACCAGCGCTAGAGTGATACAGTGTGTGTGTCCCACCATCACAAACATCATGGTAACACAATCTCTCTCTCTCTCTCTCTCTCTCTCTATCCCTATAGTATGTGTGCATAGTTTTTGGGTACTAATGAACTATCCTTTCAAGAAAATTGAAAAATATTTGTGTATAAATACTGTATACAACGATATGTGTTATACCATGTTGTGTGGCATCACATAAGAGCACAAATATTCAAAGCACACACATATTCACGCAACAGATCATCGCATAAGACGTGTGTATGGAGAGAGATATGCATATTTTCACCATCATTGCCATCTTGCTCTCTCTCTCTCTCTCTCGGCTATGTGTGTGTCAATTGTTGGCGTTGAAGAAGATGAAAATACTATGCATTACACACTCATTCACTTCTCTTATATACGGAGTGCGGCGTAAAGTCATGTAATTGACAGCACATGGAGATTATGAGCCGAGCAATGAGTGAGTGTATGGGATGCGAGTAAATGAGAGAGAGAGAGAGAGAGAGAGAGAGAGAGAGAGCAAGATGGCAATGATGGTGAAAATATGCATATCTCTCTCCATACACACGTCTTATGCGATGATCTGTTGCGTGAATATGTGCTGTGCTTTGAATATTTGTGCTCTTATGTGATGCCACACAACATGGTATAACACATATCGTTGTATACAGTATTTATACACAAATATTTTTCAATTTTCTTGAAAGGATAGTTCATTAGTACCCAAAAATTATGCACACATACTATAGAGAGAGAGAGAGAGAGAGAGCCGGCGATACGGTTCGATAGCAGCAGTATTTCAACGATTCTCTTACACACAGAATATAATACATATATTTTTCATATATACTTGACTTTCATATTATATTGAGCCCATAAATGCCTGTGCGGTAGGTCTGAGCGCACAGTTGGTGTTGTGGTGTGGGGTATATATGTATATACGACTGGGAGACAGGTCTCGCATTATCGGCACCCAATGTGCCCATACATATGCCGAGGCCATACATAGCCGGGCCACCCAACACACACACACACACACACACACACACACAACTGTCCCCATACATACATATTAATACCCACACAATAACATCCGTTCATAATTTTATTTGACACAAACTATTCGCACACATAAAATATATACAGTATATATCATAATATCATAATTACCGAGATTTTAATCAATAATATTCATATTATTTCTCTATTCCCATCATTAGTGAGACAATGGAGAGCCTTATGGGCGACAGCTATGGCTACGCGCGGCCACCGATGCCGCCGATGCCCTACTTTTTCGGTCCGGGAGGGCCCGGGGGTGTCGACGAGCAGACGCAAGCCCTGCTCCGGGAGCGGGCGTATCTCACGGGTCTGATGGGCGCCGGCGGTATGGCTGGCATGCCTGGTGGCCCGGGCGGACCTCTACCACCATCGATGATGATGAGGCCCGGAGGAGGGGGTGGTGGCGGAGGGCCGCCCCCGTCGATGATGTGGCGCTCGCCGTCTGGTATGCCTCCCGGAGCCCCCGGTGGTGGAGGGGGTGGCGGACCCGGTATACCAGTGACCAGTGATTTGTATAGTTTGTTGGCGGCGTCCGCAGCCGCGGCCTACCCGGGCTGGTACAACCAGGCGATGGCGGCGGCTGCAGCTGCCGGTGGTTTCAGGTCTCCCGGTGTGCCCCACCAAATGCCCCCAACCTCTCTGGCCATGAGCCTGGCCTCAGCCCCCCATTTATGGGGAGGTGCCGGTCAGCCCGGCTCTGGTGGCAGTCCTGGCGGCCAGGCATCGGCTCAACTACCTCTCGGTCTGACCACTAATCGTAAGCCGACGGACCAGTAATTGATTGGCAGTAGTGTTACCATATGTGTTGATAGAGTGACCAGTATTTGATTGCATTTTTTTGCAGTTTATTATTATTATTAATATTATATTTTAATAGAGATTTTTTAGTCATATTTTCTATCGATTTTATTTTCAATTGTTTTTGTATTGTATTTAAAAATGAGTTTTTTTGTGAAGTTTTAGGCGTTTTTCTCAATACATTTAATCCTATTGTGAATACATTATACAGTGAAGTGATGTTTGGATTCATTATAAATGAATTTTAAATTATCATGGTAACTGTTGATTTGCCCAACATGCTTTTTTGTATTCAATTATAATTAATTGTGAATAGAAATAATTAATTATAAATATATATAATTATAATGTAGTATAAAAATCATATCAATTTGAATGACAATGATTGTTATAATAAATAAATAACTAAATAACCTAGACAAACCCAAACAAACAATGTGGTGAAATTAATAACAACTTATTTATTACATGATAGAAATAAATACATATAATGTTTGATATATCAGATA